GGCCATTTTTGGGAAGTGCAAAAACTTAAAAAAAAAATTTGCCTCTTCAAAACCTTGGTGTGTCTTATACGCCAAAAATACAGTAAGAAAGGCTGCTCAACAAGCATTTAATTGGTTGCTACTACACACCTTTGCAAACCTAGGTGACAGGTGTGTGGATAATCCTTCTTCCAGCTTTGCATGCTTGCTGGCTACTCAATCTTTGCTATGAAGATTTCAGTATATTGTAAGAGTATTTCTCTACTAGGAAGAGAGTGAACTTACCTTTCTTCACCATCTGTTTTCCTTTTTCCTGGAATTCAGATTGCATTAATATCACTACCGTTTCAAAACTTGCCCCCTTTCTCAGCCCAAGAACTACACACAATCTTGATACAGAAACTTAGCAAAGGAAACCTTGCAGGAAGGAGCCCCAGCTGTCAGTCTTGAAAAGATAGGTTTGAAAACATTTCTGAGTAACCACACTGCATACCACAATCAATTAAGGGAACTCTGTGCTGATGTCAAACTGAGCTCCATTTTAACTCTAGCATATAAAGTTTCCTTCAAGGTGATGTTTTATTCAATGTAATGACCCTCGTTAAAACAAAAGCGGCGTGGGCTTCATCCCAATGGAACAGTGAGTACTTTAATGCCAGATACGTATTTAGCTAAGAGAATGGAAAGTGTCTATTAGTTGTTTAAATACAGATTTGAAGATAAATTTCCATTCAGATGTATGTTCTGAAAGTGAGTCTGTGGCATCCTTTTAAGCAAAATAATGCAGCATTGATTTTGTAGCATCCTATAGCACCATTGAACCATCATTGTACCAAAAATAATAGCAGTGAGGAGAGGCTTTATATTACATCAACACAGCAGTATGATAATAGGTGGTACTATGAGGCAGTTTTGAGAATTGTGCCTAAATGAATCTGCCAATTCAGAAAACCACAAGGCAGGTGGCTGGCTCAGTAGAAATGGAACAGAGGAAATGGCTTTATCCTGATAAAAGCTTTTTTATCATCTACTTTAGCATTCTCTACAACAGGGATGTGTAATTTGCGCACTTATGAGACTGCATAAGACACTGCTCTCATTCCTAAACCTTGGATACAGCCTCTAAACCTCCTTTGAAACTTTCCATTTAATTATATTTTAACACGACAAAATGGAAAAACTATTAAACTTATATATAAATGATGGCATCAATTGCATGGTTTTTAATTTAAATTTCCATTCAAAAGATAAAATTGACTTTGTGCTTATCTTTGTGCACCTATCTTATTTTAGGAATAAGAACATGTCATATTACTGATAGAACCAATTGTGGCTCTTAGGTTGAAAAACAAATACATAAAAAATAAATAAATAAATAAAAAATAAATAAATAAATAAACACGGTAAAAAGTATACCATGATCTACACAGATTCCGGTGGACAATATATTTCAAAGCATTTTCCCAGTGACCAATAGTAATAGTGGGGGAAAAATCAAATGAGAAAAATGTTGGCTGATTAATATAATTGAAAGTATAATTTAGTGCTTTTATTGCTTATTTAATTGTGTAATGCCGAGGTAGATAACTAAAAATAAGGCTACACTTTCCAAAGAATATCAAGGGGATGGTTGGACATTGGAGAATTGAGTCCTATTTTTCTAAAAGACATGAATGAAAGATGGATTCTTATAACACTATAAGCAACTTGGAGTTTGTGCCTGAGCATGCACAGTGATATTCCACCATTGTGCTTTGCAAATCATGGCTATATAGCTTAATATTTCATGTGGACAGAATCAACTGGAGTTTATCTATTTAATCATGCTTGCATGATCTTGTGAAGATAACCACTGACTCAGTGGTGGGTTCCTAACAGGTTTACTACTGGTTTGCTGACAGAGGGCATTTTGCGCATATGCGCAGAAAAACATGCCAGTGATGGGAGAAGAGACTGGAGAACCAATTAAGGGGTATGGCAGGCCTGGGTCGCTGCTGGTTCCAGCGACCCAGGGCTGCCAAACCCT